CTGAGCCCAAGGCACATCCCTTATTCTTCAATTTGCAACTTAACTTGCTTTTGCCATAAGCTAAGTGATAGCATATTGCTTCAAATGCATGCTGTGAGTGAGAAATGTGCATGCATAGTGAAGGGCAGCTGATGTACACTGAATTAAGTCACAGTGTGTAAGGAATGGCACATGCACAGTCTGAAAGATAGCAGGGTAAGCACAAAAACACTTTTGCCTGAAGCTTCATGTTTGGCTATGAAATCCAATTGTACTAAGAAGTGAAAAAGCAGATCTTGTTCCAGACAGGAGAGAGTACACATTAAAGATGTAGGTCAGAGGGAGAAGCTGAACAGTAACAGCCCTTAAGGATCCCCACAGTTTCCTTCTTGTTTCTCTACTTGCTCATCTTCCAGTCATCCTTCTTTAGCCTCTAACTAGCCTACTATAGGACACAGTCCTCCAGAGTAAAAAGTTGTTAGCATACATGCTTCTTAGCTCACATGAATACAGAAAACCTTTCTGACCTCTTTGCAAGCAGACGAACTTGGAGTGCTGTTGGGCCAGCTGGCTGAGACCACTTCAAGGTTTGACCCTCATGCCTGTAGGCATGGGCATAACAGCAGCAGGAGGTCCATCAATCCCAGTGCACCTCTGCTGGGCAACTGCAGTATCTGTGCAAGAATGGTACTGTTTGCAGTAAACAGAATTTGTGACTCATTAGTCTCTTCTCTTCTGTTTCAGATCTTCTCAGGCCTCCTAGTAAACCTCCCTTCTGTAATGGGCTGGCTGAACTGGCTCAAGTACTTCAGCATTCCCCGATACGGACTCACTGTGAGTAGCAAGCAGCACTGGTCTCCTGTGAGTAATGTAGCCCCACTGCTGCTTCCTTGAGAGGTTTTGAGTATAAATGAAGTTCTTTCAAAAGTCAGATTTGGCATCTTCCCTTGCATGAACATGGTAAAAGAACAACAAATCAGACAACCCCCAGAAGGAAGCAGAAATTAATCTCTGTGTGAGAGGTGGAAGTCTCAGAGACTGAACAAATCTTTTGTGCTGTTTGGACAGCAGCAGAGTGAGCTGTCCAGTGAGGCACTAATTCCTAATCTGAAGAGTCGATCCCTATGGTTTTAGAATAAAATTAAATCTTGTATGGCCTCTCCAGGGTCTGCTGTTTGGGTAGCAAGTTTTATATTAATGACTGCCCAACTGGTTAAAGAATTTAGCACAATGCCAGTGTTTTGCGTGGCTCCCTTTGAAGTGAAATATGACTTACTGCCATTTCTAAACAATAAGGCGCTGGGGTAGCAGAAAGCTAAGGGTGCAGCTGCTTGAAACAAAGTAACTCATGACCCCAGGTACAACTACATGTTGGGCAAGGAAGAGATTCAGAGCAACCCTGTGGAGAAGGACTTGGGGGTGGTGGTCAAAGAGAAACTGAACATGATCCGGCTTCATTGTGTGCTTGCAGCCCAGAAAGCCAACCATATCCTGGGCTGCATCAAAAGGAGCGTGACCAGCAGGTCGAAGGAGGTGATCCCTGATCTACTCTGCTCCCTGCCCCTCAGTAGACTGACTCAGATGAAAGTGGATAAACTGGAACTCATTGCTGGCAAGACCAAAACCCATGACTATATCATTGAAATGTAACTTTGAATCCAAAGACTTATACACCAAACCATCCTGCATGTGAAATTTAGACCAGTTCCTCAGAAAGGCAGTAGTTAAGAGCTTCAAACCAAAAAGGAACATAAACATACAATTCCAAGAATGGTGATGAGTGTCTCCTAATAATCAAGTTAGTTTAAGGTGTTTCAGTTTTAGCTTTCCAAATCACTAACTGTAAAAATGCAATGTCTGCCTCTTTCCCTAGGCTCTTCAAGTGAATGAGTTCAGAAATCTCTACTTCTGTGGGGAGAAGAATCCAAATGTTACAGTGCCTGCAAGCAGTTGTCCCCCTGATATCTCAGGAGAAATGTAAGTCTCTAAATCATGGTGGCCTCAATGGTGATGACTTGCTTAAAGAGAAGTCTGACTGTTCGAAATATTTATATTATTCACAGAATAACCACTCACAGGCCAGTCTCAATAAAAAATCCCAAGATAATGCATTTTAGAATTATGTAGTAAAACTTCATAAATACCCAACAGTGAAGTAAGGATGAAACTTTAGTCCTAAAAGTAGGCAGATGAGCAAAATTAAATTTTGGGGTTTTTAACCTAGCCCTATTTTATCAGTTTTCTTAAACAAATGCAGGGTCACTTAGCAAAGGAAATGCACTGTGTTGACAACTACAAAGTTGTTGGGAAGCAGTAGACCTGTGATCACAAACATGTTTGTAAATATTAACCTCGCTCCAGATAGGAGAGTACCAAGGTATCTATCTCCCAGTGCTGCTGCCCCACTTGGAATACTCTTTGACTATTGATACCTTAAGCTGTAGCAATAAAAGTATTTTGTGACCCTAACTATTCTATGATTCTATGATAGAGAGCTGGCAAACTGAGGTTATTGCAGGGAACAGTGCTGGAGTAGTGTTTCCACAGCTTTTGGACCCCAAACTGATGCTATGGACCTCTACTGTTTGTTCTGTGAAATTAATGCTTTTGTACTTACCATGGTTTAATGTGGTGCTGAGGTTTACTCATAAGTTGCCAGCTATCTATAAACAACAATTAGGATACTAGTGAAAAAAATTATGAGAAACAGAAAACTAGATTTGTCCCTTAAGCTTATTTTTGTAATGATAGGTTATGAAGTTGAGAGACTTAACATGAGCCAGCAGTGTGCGCTCGCAGCCCAGAAAGCCAACCATATCCTGGGCTGCATCAAAAGGAGCATGACCAGCAGGTCGAAGGAGGTGATTCTGCTCCTCTACTCTGCTCTTGTGAGACCTCACTTGGAGTATTGTGTGCAGTTCTGGTGTCCTCAAAATAAAAAGGACATGGAACTGTTTGAACAAGTCCAGAGGAGGGCCACGAGGATGATCAGGGGACTGGAGCACCTCCTGTATGAAGACAGGCTGAGAAAGTTGGGGCTGTTCAGCCTGGAGAAGAGAAGGCTGCGTGGAGACCTCATAACAGCCTTCCAGTATCTGAAGGGGGGCTATAAGGATGCTGGGGAGGGACTCTTCATTAGGGACTGTAGTGATAGAACAAGGGGTAATGGGTTAAAACTTAAACAGGGGAAGTTCAGATTGGACATAAGGAGGAAGTTCTTTACTTAAGGGTGGTGAGGCACTGGAATGGGTTGCCCAAGGAAGTTGTGAATGCTCCATCCCTGGCAGTGTTCAAGGCCAGGTTGAACAGAGCCTTGGGTGACACAGTTTAGAGTGAGGTGTCCCTGCCCATGGCAGTGGGATTGGAACTAGATGATGTTAAGGTCCTTTCCAACCCTAACTATTCTATGATTCTATGAAGTTACTCTATTTCTGTCCTGTTTTGCAGTTGAGGTTAAAGGAATCTTTGTGGGACAGGAATAAAAATAACTACCTGAAGACTTGCACCACATAGTATTACTAACTTGTGGCCCATGCTCTTCTGCAGGTGTTCTGGTGAAGCATACCTGTGCAGCCAAGGAATTGTACCTACCAACTGGGCAATGTGGGAAAACCTAGTGGCTCTCTTCTGTATGACTGTTATCTTCCTTATCATTGCCTATGCAAAACTCCGTTTTATGAGAAAGTTCACATAGACTCCTGTGTTGCCTTGCTTGCAGCTTCTCTTGTCTTAAAACTGCAAAGCTTGTTATAGCCTACTGGAAGTTGCCAAAAGATTTCAACTGACTTTACTGAACTTCAGACAGGAACCCAGTCTTCTTGTTTCTGGAACATGATCTCCACGTGATTATGAGATTTTGGTTTTTAAAAAGAAATGCATCGATGTACATCACATAAATTACTTTTTGTAAGAGAATACAATTCTTGTAATTCCTTATGTACATATCAAACTGTATATTGTAAAGCATTATTCTTCTGTGGCCAACTTAAATAGGAAATGTTCAAAGGGAAATGTGAGCTTCTTCATCACCATATACAGGTGGTATAAGGTGGTGATGGTGTTTATGCATTGATATGCTGCCCCTTGATAGTGCCCATCACACCTAAGAGCCAGAGACTATTCATAGCATGCTGGAAATGCATTTGAGTTTGAAGTCAATACAGGGAATGAGCACTCCTTGCCAAGCAAAACCAGTTATATTTCTAGTAGCTTCTCACTGGAAGCTACTTGCAGAAACAACTTTTGCTTGGCTAAAAGTTAAACTGCAGTGGTAGACAACATTTTGCCTAAGACGAGTGAGTTTTGTTGTAAACAACAAACCACCCGCCCCCCAACCCAACCCAAACAACCCTCCCTGAAAACCCAACAACAAAAAAATGTACATTTTCTACTTAAAAGAAGGGAATTCACTTCCATTTTTTTTTTCTTCCAATAAAAATTTATATGCTTGGCAATGGCACATCGTAATGATTACCGACACTGTCTATATATAGTACTACTTACACCATGCACTGAAAAAGCCCATGTAGATACTGCTGTGGCAATCTACAGCAACACTTACTGCAGTCGCCATGGAATAGATTGTAGCACGCCAGCAGTTGTCTCCTCACCACATTATTAGCATCACGGCTCCTTCTAACCTGCAGTAAGACCCTCAGATGCAAGTGAACCAGTTAAGCCAAAAGAAAACATCCTCAAACACAAGGCTAAAGGGCTTGCTTGTGAGGGCTGCACTAGTGCGCAGCGGTGAAAGTGCTTCTGGTACTCTTGCTATTGCAGTCATTGTGTTATGAAGAGTGTTATGAAGAGGGAAATGTACTGACAGCACAGCCACGTCGAGCACACGCCATTCTCCTTCTGAGCTGCTTCAACTGCCTTGCGCACCCTCCAAACCGCTCCTGTACGCGGTACTGAAGGCCACCCCTTACGATGCAGCCAGGAGGTGGGACAGCCAGCCCCGGACCTACGCGCTTAGCATCCGCCAAGCACCAGATCCGCGCGGCCGTGTACGCAGCGGGCTGGGCGGTGTAGCACCACCCCCGACAGACGGGGCCGAGCATGCGCCGCGGGGCCTGGCGGCGGGCCGCGGTTTGCGTGGGGTCCAAGGCGGAAGCGGGCGCTGCGTGAGGGGGCCTGTCCCCATGGCGACCGCTGCGGAGGGGCTGCTGGAGGCCGGTGCGCAGCCCGCCAAACGTAAGGGGCTGGGGGAGCCGTCTCCGGGTTCGCCCCTCAGCCGCATGGCGGTGGCCGGGCCCTGCCAGGCCGCGGCCCTGGCCCGGTGAAGCAGCAGGCGCCCCGCGGAGGGAAGGGTGGGGACCGGCTGCGGGGCGGGCTCGCTGTTCGCCATTCTCGGCCCTGGAGCCCTGCGGCTGCGTGCCCCCCTGGGGCTCACCGCGTGTGTCTGCCGGCGGACGCTGCGGGGCTCGGGGCTGCCGACCAAAGAAGGAGCAACCTGTCGGGTTGAGGAGGAGGTGCTGAGCTGCTCCCCCGAGGAGGAGCAGAGCAGGGGCAGGTTGTGTAGTAATGGGTTTGGAGAAGAAAAGCAGTGATCGTTGCTTTCTGTAGGTGGGGATCTGTTGTAGGTCTTCGTGAAACGGACTGGGGGGCGCTTTATTCTGATTCAGTGACCAGAAATAAACATCAGTAAGATTGTGCACAAAGTCAGAAGTTATCCACAAATTCTTTTTCTGTTGTATAAGCACAGGAGGGGGCTGCTGCTTGCAAGTTCGGGTGCCTGTCCCTTAAATTCTTCTCAAAGTATTTTGTTGAAATTATCTTGCTGCTACTTCAGGGAAACTGCCTAGGTTTGTTATCCTTTAGTCTGAAGTACACAACTTACATGGTAAGTAGGTATAGTCAGTTTGAAGGGGAAAAAGTATTTAGGACCGTTAGTCTGTATGGTGTGTTTCTGTACCTGCTACCTTTTGCCTAATCTTGCAACGTCTGTACCCTGATCAGAAGAGCCTGCTGTTGAAACAGCGGAAGAAGCTAAGGAACCAGCAGAGGCAGACATCAATGAACTCTGTAAAGACATGTTCAACAAAATGGCCACTTACTTAACAGGTGAACTGACAGGTAAGGCACAGCAGTACTGACCTGCAAGTAAGTTTTTGTTTCTTTTCTTTTAAAGAGATCTGTTGTGTAGTTTGTCTAAAATGTACCTATTTAGATCATAACTTGCAAGACTAGCAGTTTAAGTCTGGCATGTTGCTACAGTACTGACAACGCTAAGATCAGTTATATTAATGAAGTCCCAGAATAGCACAAATATTTTTCAAAAGAATTTAGTAAGATATCAGCAACTTAAAAAAATAGTATCTTTTTAGTCTTGGAGAAGATAGTACATGGAAAACCAACCAAACAAAAGAGGTCTGGGTTAAGAAGGACTAGAGGAGGAGCAGAACTGAGAGTGGAATGCATGCATCTATTTTGTTTCGAAGTGAGAGCAAGGGTCACTCACGTTTTCCAACATTCATGGTTTATTCTGAGGTGCTGTGCAACATTAACTGGATGAAGTAAACTGCTCAACAAGTCAGTGGGTTCTATAGGCTCTAATTTTGAAAGCAGGCCACAGAACTAATTTGCCTGGACTTGGAAAAGTATATGGTACAGACTACCAGTCTGTATTTGTGCTCTCAATTTTGTAAATGTACGTTTAGCTGACAGAATAAGAATAGAAATATGATGAATTAGTCTATTTTTCTCCTAAAAATAAAATTGCAAGTGAATAGGTATTTATTAGTCCAGTTGTTTTTTTCAATTAAAAAAATATCATCTCTCTTTCTCTAGAGCATTATACTAATACCCATATTATCATCTAAACTATTCTTTGTTACATTTGGCTATTGGTTTGAAATATCTTGTCCTGTTGAAGAGTCTGCACCCAATTCACACTGCATCAACTTTTAATTAAAATAAACTTTGTTGTTTTAAGCCACCAGTGAAGACTACAAACTCTTGGAAAACATGAATAAGCTGACTAGTTTGAAGTACCTAGAAATGAAAGATATTGCTATAAACATCAGTAGAAATCTGAAGGATTTAAATAAAAAATGTAAGTAAACCGAATAAGGTAAGGGTGTAATAAATAGTACATTTGCTTGGGAAATGAAGCATTTAAGAGTCAGTTCACACTCCATTAAGTGCTGAAGCAAAGAAAACACTGAAATAGACATACTGCTATACAGTGCCAATCTTGTATATTTTTTTACAGCTATAGATTACATAGACTAGCATAAGAGAAATTTCATCTGATTTTACGTCCTGTTTTATTCCAAGTTTTGGATATGATAGGAAATAATACTTCTCTGATTCATGTTGTATTGTTACTTGTGTTGAGTCTAGCCAATACCCTTAAACTTTCCATACTTTCCTGGAAGAAGGCTGACTGTATCACTGCTTGATTTTGGGGCAGGGGAAGGAAGAAGCTTTTAAATTGTTCTGTCAGAAGAATGTAATAAGAAATTCTTGTGTTTCAAATGTGAAATGTTTCTTGAAAGTGAATTACTTGAGAAATAACAGAAATGATTTTTCTCCTTTTTCAAGATGCTGCTCTTCAGCCATATCTGGAACAGATCAACCTAATTGAGGAACAAGTTGCAGCTCTGGAGCAGGCAGCTTATAAATTGGATGCGTATTCCAAAAAACTTGGTAACTGTTGTCCTCTACTATTACTGTGTAGCAGCATAGTCTCTTGAAAGGGGATTTAAAAAGACAAAGTAAACTCCTCCTCTGTTTAATAAATCTTAGCTGCAGAGTTGACTGTGCTGCTTTTGAGCAACGAACATTGTATGTGAAGTAGTAAGCCTTGGGAAAAGATTAATATAACAAATTCTATGGAGGTGGACTAGTTGTAGGTATTACAGAACTACAGATTATTAGTGAGGCTTGTTTTCTCTTTTACAGTATGCACTGACTGAAATTTTAAAGGCAGATGTTTAATCCTGCAAATAGAGGGATTCATAAAGTTCCACCAAGCACCCAAGTCCTCTTGGTTTAAATCAGTATTAGTTGTCTGACTTAAAAACCTTAAAAATTTTGTTGCATAATTATACTTGCCTAAATGGTTTAGTAATAAATCATCCTGAGTGATACTGTAATTTAACTTGAATTTTAAGATGTTTAACAGCTTACAGGATTCAAAGCTTTTGGTTATCCAGACCTAAATAATTGTTGTCTTTTCTTCTGCAGAAGCCAAGTACAAAAAACTGGAGAAACGGTGAAATTACAACAGTCTTTAAGTTGGAGTTGGGCTATGAGTCAGACTGATTTCTCTCTAAGTTACACAATAGCAATTCTGTATGTTGACAAGGATTTGGTTACAGCTAACATCAAAGCTGATAACTTTTTCTATCTATTGAATACAGTAGGCTGTATTCAGGCTTAAGGCTGAATAATATTTTCCTCTTCTCAAGAGGTTCTGTTGCCTTAGTTGTTCTGCAGTGAAAAGTAGAAGCCTGTTCCTAACCGCTATGTTGATACTGGCTGTGTGTTAGTCCTATGTCCCACATGAAACAGTCTATCTAGGAAAAGCCCTTCATAACCTATAAAGACCTTATCCCTTAGTAACAGCAAGACCTGAACTTCATTTTTAAGTTCACTGAGCTCTGTGTTGAGAAGATACCTGGAGTTATGAGCATGGTATTGAGAACACTTCATTTTGGTATCCACCTTTATCTGTTTAAAAGAGAGAGACTAATTATTATAAATTTACAATAAAACAACTTGCCGCATTTGTCTCTCATGAATCACAAATTCCTGTTGGAAAGATTATGTAACGTGTCTTTTTTTTTTTTTTTCCAAAGGATCTGTTAATAAAGACAAACTCCTTCCAGCTACTGGAGATCATAGAAAAGAACATGTTTTAAACTCTGTGTCAAGTATTCCTGCAATTATATTCTTTTACTGTCGGGACCTCAGGTGAAGTGGCAAGGAGTATTGCTTTATCACATGCTCATCTTACTTAGCAGATCTTTACTAATGAATTCTGTTCCTAATAGTTTTTGAAGAGGCATGCCCAGCACAGGAAGTTTCTGAACCAGATTAGCAGTGCTCCAGATTGCTAATTTAGAAGAGCCCTTCTTACTGAACAGTTATTTCAAGTGGACTTTTTTATCCATACCTACTACTTCAAGCTGTCTTTTGAGTGAGTTGCAGTGTAGGATAGTACAAATGCTGATATAGGAAAGAAGTAGTTCAGACTTCCTACAGGATGTTGAGAAGAATGTCTGTTCATGTGCCAGTGTGCAGATCATAATGCTGTCAGCCAGTATACAGCCACTGTAAATAGGCAAGATGGACACTTCCCTAGTGGTGCTTAAAAGCAGTGAAGCAAAGATGACCTTTGAGAGCCTTCACCATCACTTTTAAAATATTTAAAATAGAAAGTACTATTCTGTGTGGCCTTGATGTAGGAATTGAGAGAAGGTTGAGTTCACTTTGAAGAAAGGACTTTTTGGAGTGGGCATCTTTAAAGAACAGGATTGTCTCCCAGTTATCTACCCATTTGCATCTGTATTGCTTTTATCCATAGTTAACTCACAGATAATTTTTCTACCTGTGGAAACAAATTAGTCATTAGTATTACGAAAGCAACATCCTCCAACCCAGCAGGAAAGGGTACTGATAGATGAGTTATCATTTCTGTGTTGGAGGCAATGATACCATGTAGAATGGCAGCCTGTTTTAAAATCTGAGAGATCATCATCTTTCTGAGGATTCATGCTGTGTTTGCAGTTCTGGACAAGAGGATCTAGCCAGCCAGATCTGAAATCTTCCTGCCTAGAGACTAGTTTGAATGATAGCCTGATTGGTAATCTCTGATGCTGGAAAGTGGTACCACATGTTAGATAATGTAGAAGTCCTGTTTTTCCAGTGTTTCATGCATCTGTAGGTAATACAAGAGCTAAATGTGACTAAGCCAAACTCACCAGTGTGTTTGATAGTATCATCCTTTCTCTTTGTGAGTGTGGAGGAGAATAACAGATGTTTGGCTGCTGATACAAAAGCTTGAGGGTGCTGCTCAGAGCTCTTCTGTTCCCTGAAAGAATGAGGTTTTTCATTATAGTATGTAGCACCTGCTTGTGGCTGGGAGCTTAGTCCCTGAATCCCTCTAAGTCCCTTTCTGGCCCCTACCTGCCTTTAAGAACAGAAAAGCTGCTGACTCGCATTAGGTTGGAAATGGTTCTGGAGCTGACTGGCCATTGGTTGGTCTAGGACAAGATCACTAATCTTGAAATCAGAGAAAGCCTAGGGAATCTTTGATTCCCAGCTGCTTCTGGGAAGATAGTGCTAGATACACATAGTGGATGCTGGCATACAAAGGAATTATTCTGCACTGCAGGGATGCAGCTGGCCCCGCACTCTTGTCTACATAGAGATGCCCAGATGAAGGGGTGGCAGAGTTGTGTCCCAAGGAATTGCAATGGAGAGCTGGCCATCTGCTGTCTAGAGAACTGTGATCATCTCCATGTGATAAAAATATGAAGCCCTAAGTGCCAGTGTCTTGTCCTGTCACATGGCAGCAGGCCAGTTAAGTTTGAATCACGGCAGATAACCTGCAAATCAAGTATTGAACACAGAGTGGAATGTGGCCTGGACATCTCCATGCTCTAGTGGCAGTATACTGTCACTGCAGTTGAAAGTCACTTCCTTATTGGGTGTGTGCTACATGCTCACTCCATGCTCTAGTGACAGTATACTGCCACTGCAGTTGAAAGTCCACTTCCTTATTGGGTGTGTGCTATATGCTCACTCCATGCTCTAGTGGCAGTATACTGCCACTGCAGTTGAAAGTCCACTTCCTTATTGGGTGTGTGCTATATGTTCAGACCTTCAATGAGACACAGACTCTACAGAGCCAAGCTGGGTATGGAACTGGGTGCATGGTAGTCCTGCTGTGTCTTAAGGTAAGTCCCAGTCAGCTTCCCTTTTACTTAACACCTACTGTCCACATTCTAGTTGGGATGCCAAAACTCAGTTCCATAGTAAGAAGGATTTACTGTCACTGGGATCGTAACAGCAGCCTTGCTGTGTAAATTCCTGAAGCGGCCCAGAACAGCAGTCTGGCTCCCCTCTGTGTTAACAGCTTTAGCACTTCCAGCTGACTTGGACCCAGTAGGACCCCTTTTCATCTTGAGGCCATGGGGAGGCACATAATAGTGAAGGTGTTTCAGGGCTGCTCGTCTTTCTTAAAAAGAAACAGTTACGTGCCTCACCCTTCTCAAGCATGGTTTAATATACCAAGCTCATCCTGTGGCAGCAAGACTTTACTTCCATAATGTGTGCCTGGGGCATGCTAGGTTGCCAAAGGCAATTATGGATATCACAGCAGTCCTGTAGGAAGCTTTCCTAACACAAAATTTAGATATAAGAATTGTAAGGGGCAAACAGGCAGAAAGGCAAAAGATAGGCTGGTGCTAGCTAAGCAAGAACATGTTCTCAGAGGCACTAGGGCTAGAGTTTTTTCCTCTGCTCAGGAATGAACTGGTAGTTTGTGATTAAGCAGATTGTGACTGTACAGAGCACCACTGGAGAACATGCATACTAGCTATAAGCCCTAATTACCACTTCTCAGGTCTGAAGGCAGAGGATCCTGTCAGTGTAATAACTAAAATTGGACTGATGCCTTCTAAGACGGCATCCATGCAGCTGTTGTTAACAGGTATTGTGCCTCACCCCTCAAGGCCAAGGGGATTCAGGAGACTGAGTGACTAAGTGGGTTGATAAATACGATCACATGAAGGTAAAACCATTATCTCTCTACTTGCCTCACCTGGAGAATGCTCAGTCTGCATGAAGCTCCCTGGCCTGCCCCATCCCACCTCTTCATAGTCAGAGGTACAGTGTGTGGTTTGTATCTTTATAACAAGCCAAAGAGCAGGCTCAAGAATAGGTGACAATCCTGTTTGGATCTGGTTTTGTAGAACTGCTGGCTTAGCCATATGTTGTTTTAGTCATCTTCTTTGAGGAAGAGGTCCACTCACCACATACCACACAACATGCTGTTGGAAGGTCTAAGAATCTGTGTGATTGGGGCATAGAAAACGTCAAAGAATTTGGTATTTGCTCATTGTCTTTCTTTGCTAGGATTGCAGGAAGGCCACAGGAGGGCGATGTGTCAGCAGAGAAAACTGCTTCAAGAGAAAGCCATAAAGGCAGATGAAGGACGAAATCCTGCTCCTGTTCAAAAAGTTACTTTTCTGTGTGTAAGAAATACAGCGCTATTTCAAAACTACAAAGATGAAAACCTCCAGGAACTCTGAAGATGGGAATCCATCTAGCCATGCATTGCCATCAAGTGCTTAGTGTTTTCAGGTAAGAGAGCTAAGAAATAGCAAATTCCTTCATGAACTTTTGAGTATCCGACCTCCACGAAGGAGAAATGGGAATGGGAGCTTGTTCCACAAGTGACTATTTACTGGGAGGAAATTTTAGGTACTGAGTACTTGGCTGGTTGGAGGATTGTGTGACAGGGGCATCCCAATCAGGCTGAGAGCTTTCAGCTGTGTTCCCAGTTTTGTCTCTGAGTAAGTATTCCCCTCTCTGCCTGACAGCCCTCTATGTCACTGGTAGAATCCAAATCACAGCAAGGATGGCACGTCCTTTGGATAGCAGCACCACAGAAGAGACATAAGTAGGTGTGTGTGAACAGCATTATATTGAGGAAATATGTAGTCCAAAAGCAGAAGCACAACTTGGTTACTGCTTAGACATTTCACCTGGAGAATCCATGAGAAGTTTCAGAGGAGGTAGAGAGGTATAGGAGGAGGCTAAATCTCTATCATTTCTCTTCTGCAGCATTTTCTGGTGGAAAATATAATAAGAAAGTAGCATGTGCTTGAAGGGAAGAACAAGGGAAAGAATAGAGGAAAGGGAGGGCTGACAGATGAGAATTAAGGGGCAAAGTATCTCATCAAGTGATCTATGCAACTGCTTTTGAGCTGAAGCAGTTCTTGAGGACTTGGCCTGCAGCTGCAAACCAGGGGTGAAAATCTTCTGGTTCAATTCCAGAAGAGGATTTTCCCCCCAGTACCTCAGGACAGTTCTGCCCAGCTGCTTTAACAGGTCATTCTGAAGTCATCCAACTTTCAGAACAGTACTTTGTGGAAATGCCCACAGTCTGCAGAAAGGGCTTTTAAATCACTAGTAGAAACTGCGACATGTCCAACAGCTGAAAAACAGCTCTTCTAGAACGGAGTATACTTTTTAACCTGGAACTCTTTCTGTTCAATAGAAATGTTTAGATACCCAATGGGATGATAATCACAAGTGTATATAATGGCCTGAAGATAAATAAATTGTTGTATGTGTAGCATCCCATCAGAGGACAAACGTACAAACACAATGTAAGTAATAAGTGGAAGACAAGCATAAATGCAAGGTTTATTAAAGATTAATGTTTGTTCTTTCTTTCTGGTACTGCGGTAGACAAGGTTGACCTTAGAAAAGATAACAAAGAGTTAAAAATGAAGCAGGTAATCCAAGTTTGTTGGCAGCAAGTGATTTTTTTCTAACCAGTATGTTTTTACTGTAGACTTCATAAAGTAAGCCTTCCAGGATGCAACTTTAGCCCTTCCTAATCCCACATCCCTGTTCTATGTTGCAATGGAACCCCTGGGAGCCACAGTCATTTTCTTGCTGGTTTGCATTGTCCGCCACCTTGTCTGTTCAGAGGTGTCTGAAACAGGGAAGCTACCTCCTGGGCCATTTCCTTTGCCCCTCATGGGAAACATGCTGCAGCATGAAGCAAGGGGATATAACTTAAAAGCTGT